ATTTGACCTAAATTTAAATATTTATGCATGTGGTTTAAATAAAAATGATATCCCTCTAATAATTGATATAAAAAAATTTCAAATGCATAACATTTTTAGAGAACTTTATGCATATGATCTTAAATTCAACAATTGATATTGTATAAAGTATTTTAGTCTTGGATATATTGAATTTCATATGCTACTAACATGTTTGTTATTCTTTGTTGAATTCAATTATGTTTAAGTGTTAAGATCCTAAAAGAAAATTTTTAATTGGAATGCATTTATTGAGGGGGATATTTGATTTTTTTTCAAATGATTTTTAAAATGTCAAATTTACTACTTACTCTCCAAAGTTATTTTGAACTTCAAAGATTAGAGTCTTTTTGATTTAACAAAAAGGGGGAGAAGTGTGAAGGTGTTAAAGTGGAGAAGTGTTAAAGTAAGGGGGAGTAATTTCAAACTTGATTTCAAAATCTTAAAATTACTCAAATGTTTTGTTATATCAAAAAGGGGGAGATTGTTGAAAACATTTTGATGTTTCGATATAACAAATTAAGTTAAATGAATTTTAAGATTTTACAAAAGATTTTCTAAGTATATTCGATGTAATTATTCGAATATCAAAATATTACTCCAAGTCTTTCAAAGTTCATTTTAATCCTTACTAAAGTGTAAAATTATGTTTTATACTTAAAACTATTTTAAAACAATTTTACAAAGTATTTCGAGCCTTAATCGAGCAAAAAATATTTTCTTTTTAAAGGGTTTCAAGAAAAATCAGATTGTCCAGGGGGTACAGATTCCCCCCAGGGGGAACAGATTCCCCCCAGGGGGTATCGATTCCCCGGGAACAGATTCCCCCCAGGGGTATCGATTCCCCGGGTACAGATTCCCCCCTGTATGGTTTGGCTCCGAGAAATAACAAATTACTCGGATGGAACCGATTCCCCCTTGAGGGTACCGATTCCCTCACTGTTCATCAGCCCAACGGTCATAATATTTGAATATTATGAAGGGGTATCGATTCCCTATGAAAGGGTACCGATTCCCCCCATTCTGGGCAGCCTATTTTTGCAGAAAAAAACATTCCCAAACGCTCCAAAACATCCCCAACGGCTAGATATGACTTCAAACACATTCCAAGCTATAAATACAAGCTAATGACACTTGAAGAAGTAAGAGAACAACTATCCAAACAATCAAACACAAGAGAAGAGTTTTTCAATCTTATTTCATCTTTCTCTTGTAAATATTTTGTTCTTGTGAGCTCAATCTTATAAACACCTACCTTATAGAGGTTTTCTTGTTTACATTTCTTATCCTTTTGTAAAGGGGAAATGTTCTAGCTAGTCCCGTGTAAAAGCTAGGGAAAGGTTCTAGTTTATCCCGGAAAAACTAGGGAGTTTGTAAGGTTACTCTTTATCCTCAAAAGAAAGAACAAATTAGTGAATTTGTTGGAAAATCCTTGGTGAGGAGCTAAGGTAGTGGATGTAGACTTTGATTAAGAAAGTCGAACCACTAAATCGCTGTGCAATTCTCTATCTTTCAATCTCCTTACTCCCTAAACACAAAACCGTTCCGACCCCTCTTTGCAAACCGTTCCGATTGTCGATTCGAGCTTCCGAAAATCCTAACAATAACAAACATAATTCAACGTTATATGATCGTATTTTCTTAATATAAGTCCAAATGTTCTGTTATTTTGCAAGAATAAAGGTTTTGAAATGTCAATGTGACATCTCGGACTCGTATCCGGGTCGGATACGGGTTGGGATGCTACATTGTACAAGTCAAAATATAAGCTCCACTAAGCATTAAGCTCGATCTTTTTCCTTTTCTTTGTCGCTATTAGATCCCGATTTTGATTGATGTCTATAAATATATCAAACATATAACACAAATAATTAAAAGCACATGTTAGAGTCCATCTAACCCATGCACATATAGTGTAGGAAAAATTCATAATATTCATTCCAATACAACATTATAATTACAATGTTTCCTACACTTCTTTCCACGTTGACTTACTTGAATTCACCTTTAAAATCACAATTTCACTTTAAGCCCTTATTTTTCTCTTTTAAGCTTTAAATACTAATCATAAAAATTTCACATTGCAAGTCTAAATCCAATAATTTAATCATCAAATTAATCCTTGAAAGGTAACAAATATCATAAATAAGTCACTTAAATTTTCCTATAATTTTTTCTTAAGAAACTTATATGTCCAAATGTAATCCATCACCTTACAATGTGTTTTCAAGATCCAAACAACACATTTAAACATGTATTGTAATTTTATACCACAACATTTATCAAATTCAAACTTTGACTATAATTTCCAAACTTTTCCTAAAGTGTCGTTTTGGTCACTATTAGGATTCAACCATTCTTCCTCCTTTCCAGCTTGAATAAACATACTAAGGTATAAAAACATAATATTCTCTTCATATCTAGCATAAAAATCAATTCAAAACATCAACCCCTTAACTTTTCATCTTTTCCAAATGGATCCTTAAAGAAAAACTAATGGATTTTTCGTTGCTTGAAACATGAAATCAACGTCACAACACATATATCATAATTTTCAAGCTTTGAAACCTCAAATTTCATCATCCCTTTCATCCACCCTTTTCGTAAATTTAGGGTTATAAGCATGAACAACATTAAAAAATTTTCCCTTGCTTTATCATCTAGCAAAATTTCTTGAATTTTCAATTCGATCCGATTATCCGAATTTTTCTCGAACTTTCATACTTTATAGCTTTTAACACAAACTACGTACGAAAAATCTGAAACCCACGAAAATATCATTATTGGGTGTAAATTATTCATTCACGGGACCAAATTATACAACTTTTTAAAATTAAACTTTGGTCCCTAAACTTTCCAAAGTTTATACTTTAGCCACCAAACTTTCAATTTATTCATTTTGATTACTAACCAAATTTTTTGGGTATTACATTTTTATTTAATCATTTAAAAAGTTTCAATAATTAACAATTGAAAACAAATTCTCAACAATAATAAAATCCATTTAACAAATTTCACATCAATCAATAAATTCATTCATCTTATGTCTAAAAACAAAAATTAATACTAATACCAACCACCAGGAACCATCGGCATAATATAAAGAAATAAAAGATATATATATGATAATAATGCAGACATGGGTATGTTCAGCGAAATTAATGAAGCATGGGTTCTTGGTCTAATGTCGTTAATATGTCAAAAATAACATTTTTTTTAATTTGTCCATATATAGACGTTAGGGTTAGGTGTGAGAAATAAGAGCTTATGCGAGTAAATATATTTTAGACCCCATGCCTGAAATTAGCTTCCACTAGATATTTGTTTATATTTTGGATGGGACGTGTCAGATGTTGGTTGGTTTTCGATAATTACAATGACAAAATCACGTGTAATATAAATTAGGATAAAGATTGGATATATTTTGAACTTGTTAATTAGGATAAAGATTGGATATATAGAATGACAAAATCACGTGTAATATAAATTTAAGTCGCGATAAGGTTAAAATTAGGTATAAAGTTCAACAAAGCACGTGCTAAGTGGAACCAAAATCATATGGTAATACATTATTCTTGAAGTTTATGGATCTTCTTACATATTCAATGAATCGAAGATAAAACGAGACCATGTTTCTTATTTATTGGGACAGCGTTTGATTTCCCCTCTAAACAATGGCCAAATTGCCTCTGATATCAAATTTTGATATTAATTAAAATTAAAATGCTTGTTATCAATATATTATAAAATTAACTAATAGATATCTAAATTAACAAATTATATTTTATAATTTCCTAAAAAATGGGAGTCGGAAATTGTGGACACAAATTACAGAAGCTGAAACATTGAAGTCATTATAGTCATATATAGTATTTCTTCTTAAATCATAACTCTTCTCATTCTAAGTTAATAACAACTATATTCTTGATCATTTAAAATTATTTCTTTTATTATTTATTTTGATGTCATTAATTTACTTAAATAATAATTATAAAAAATAATATGAACAAATATTGATTAAAATAATTTTAAAAAATTTTAAAATAAAATAAATAATTTTTATTAGTTAAAATCATAACTGATATAATAAAAAGTCGTGATATAATTTGTTTCCTCTAACAGTGCAATCCAACTTCACATAGTTAGGGATGGCAAAAAAATCCGAATTCAATGAGAAAAATCGAAAACTGAATTAAACGGGTCGGGTTCGGGGATGGGGACGGGGACGGGGAAAACCCATTTATTTTAAACGGGGACGGGGACGGGGATGGGTTTGGTAATCCCCGCCCCGATACCCGACCCGATAAATATTAAAAATAATATTATATATATATATATTATAAATTAATTTAAATAAAAAATCCCCGCCCCGATACCCGACCCGATAAATATTAAAAATAATTATTTATATATATATATATCCGGCCCGATTCTCGGCCCAATACCCGACCCAATACCCGGCCCAAAACCCGTTTAAATAACCGTTTATGCTAAACGGTGATACTCGTTTTCCCGCAGTTTTCCCCGATTACCCGACGGGGATCCCCGTTTAAATCCCCACGAATTTTTAAACGGAAACGGATACCGATTTTTTAAACGAAAACAGAGACGGGAGACCAATACCCGGCCCGAACCCGAACCGTTGCCATTCCTACACATAATGGGTTATCCCAAGAAATGGCCAACCCGAAGCATTTAGTTTAGCTTGCATGAGTAGGTTAAAAAACAAACGTTCTTACAACTGTCAAAGCGGGCGTCTGAATCTTTACAAGATCTACTTCCGTAGGCTGCTGTCTTTTTCTCAACCCATTGCATTTACAACTCATCCACATGCTTCTTTGATGTTCTGTTCTACCTTGTCAGTTCCCCTCCCTCCCTTTCTCAATAAACAAATAAATAATAAGTGCCCAACTAATCCAGTTGGAGTATTTCTTTTGCATTAAAGTTCTTGTTCATCTGGTAATATTTATTTTTGAGTTTACCCACTTCATTCCTATATAAATCCTCCATCGCTACCCTTTCTTCTCCCCACATTTTAAAAAGAATCCTATCCTTTTCCTCTTGTTTTTTCCCCTTTTTGTATTTCTTTCAGATATGGGTTTACAGCGATCAACTATGGCGGTGTTCTCGCTGATAATGTTTGCTTTATCATCAGCGCTTGACATGTCCATCATATCCTACGATGAAGGACATCCCGACAAGTTCAAATCCAGTTGGAGAACAGACGACGATGTTATGGCCATGTACGAGGAATGGCTTGTAAAGCATGGAAAAGCGTACAACGGTTTGGGGGAGAAAGAGAGGAGGTTTGGGATTTTCAAAGATAATCTTAGATTCATCGATGAACATAACGCCGATGATACCCACAGTTTTAAGGTTGGGTTGAACCGGTTCGCTGATCTGACCAACGAGGAGTACCGAGCCATGTATTTGGGAACTAAGAAACCCATCAGGAAAGTTTCCAAGAAGAGTGATCGTTACGCGCCACGCGTGGGTGAGGAATTGCCGGAATCCGTTGATTGGAGGGAGAAGGGCGCAGTCGTTGTCGTCAAAGATCAGGGAAGCTGCGGTAAGATTCTTTTAACCCCCATTGGTTTATGTCTTTGGATGTTGAACTTTGTTTCAATTTCCGGATCTTAAGTTTACTAGGGTCAATCTTTGATGGATTCTTATTTGCTAAATGAAAACTGTACCAATTCTAGTAGGTTTTAATCTCTATTAGCTTTTATTTGTCAACTGGAAATTATTTGCGTAAATTGCATTTTATCAGACGGTTTTGTCCATATGAACTAGAAGCTATTCTGGGAGTGTATGATAATTTTGTGCAAACTTGAAGCACGTGATAAAGCAGATAACTTTGTTATCTTCGATCTTCAAGGGGAAAGGAAACAATTGAGAGGACTTCAGGGAAGGATCCTGAGGGAATTTTTGCTTGAGTGGGTTTGGTTCGGAGTGGCTTGACATGCTTCCGAGTTTTATGAACTCTGGTTTGGTTAGTTGGACCACTCAAATTCTAACACTTCTAATCGTTTTAAAAAAAGAATGTATAAAATATTAGTATAAGGTTCTTTGGATCTACGTGGTCTGTTGATGTGGCTGCTTTCGGTGGCATAATAAGAAGGTGCTTGACTGCCAGCACGAAGGTTCATGGTCTACTCCACCGTGAAAACTGGAGTCATGGGAGAGAATACGTGTTGGGATATGTCAGCTGGATATATGTAGTTTGCTCCTAAATACTACTTAAGCAAATTAATTGAATCCAAGATATTTGAATTTAGAGGATTATGAATTGCTTTCATGAATGTTTTGGTAAGATGATTTTACTGACTATCCAATGATGAATGCAGGGAGTTGCTGGGCCTTCTCAGCTATTGGAGCGGTGGAAGGGATAAACCAAATTGTCACTGGTGATCTCATCTCTCTCTCTGAGCAGGAGTTGGTGGATTGTGATACATCCTACAATGAAGGATGTAATGGAGGGCTCATGGATTATGCCTTTGAGTTCGTTATCAATAATGGTGGCATCGACACTGAAGAAGATTACCCTTACACAGGCGGTGATGGAAGATGTGACTCCTACCGGATGGTAGGTGTATTTAGTTTCAAATTCTAAAGGGAACAATGATGGTGTTTCATCCGGGACGGATATAACTGTAAACTATATAGATTTATCTTTTGCCTTACCCTTGTTTTCTACACCTGCAGAAAAATGCCAAGGCTGTTACAATTGATTCCTATGAAGATGTTCCAGAAAATGATGAGAACGCATTGAAAAAGGCAGTTGCACATCAACCAGTTAGTGTTGCCATTGAAGCTGGAGGCAGGTCATTCCAGTTGTATACATCAGTAAGAGTGATATCCTTCAAAATTACTAGTAATTATAATGACCGTATGTTTAATGGGTTATAATATTGATAATACTCGCTCAAATGCTCTAACAAAATCTTTTTTCCAACCAACAAATGGATTCTCCATGGGTTCAATCAATGCTTTGTGGCTTATCACTTGATTCATTATCTAGTCTGAATACCTAGTTTGTAAATTTATATTGGATTACAAAGCAATAATGTATCTTAAAACAGGAGCTTGAATAATGTATTCTACTGTTCTTCCAATGTAGGGTGTGTTTAATGGAATATGCGGGACACAACTGGACCATGGTGTGGTTGCCGTCGGATATGGCACGGAGAATGGTAAAGATTACTGGATTGTTAGGAACTCATGGGGTGATCAATGGGGTGAATCAGGTTATATCAGGATGGAAAGAAACCTGGGCAATTTAGCAACAGGCAAATGTGGAATTGCAATGGAAGCCTCATATCCTATTAAAAAGGGTGTAAATCCCCCCAATCCTGGCCCCTCCCCTCCATCCCCAATAAAGCCTCCTACTGTTTGTGATGATTATTACAGCTGTCCCGAGAGCAGTTCTTGCTGCTGTTCCTTCGAGTTCTATGGCTACTGCTTTGCTTGGGGCTGCTGCCCGCTTGAGGCTGCGACTTGCTGCAATGACCACAACAGCTGCTGTCCGCACGACTACCCTATCTGCAACTTGATTGAAGGCACCTGCTTGATGGTACGACTAAAAGATTAACTGCATTGTTATTTCCTTGATTATGCTAGGTGCCCTGCATTTTTATTGTTTGCATATGGTCATTATTCTAATTCAGCGTTTTCGTCCACCTTTCTCACATTCACAAGTGAACTATCTTTCCATTTCTCCTTTTCTTTTTGTCTAGAAGTTGTTAATGTTCTCATCAATTGCTTGAATTCTTGCAGAGCAAGGGAAATCCAATGGCAGTGAAAGCACTGAGGCGCACTCCTGCTATACCTTTCTGGTCACATGGAAACATGGCAAAAAAGAACAGTGATTAAGTAGAAGCCTGAGATTTCATGCAGTGGATGATCGAACTGGGAGGATGAAAGAAACTTGACAGCGCTTAAATGTTCTCCTTGGTTTTATCTTGCTGCAGTGAATTCCAGCAGATGAATGGTTCATAAAAGTCGCGCAGATGCCTATTATGTACATAACTTCCTAATTTATCCATTGCTGCATTTGATAAACAGCCAGAACATTCAATTTCTATTATCCTATGTATATCATGTCATCATTTAGCTATAACTTTCCAGAATTGATCTGTCAATCGTATCCTTATCTTATGGTTGGTTCTATATCAATTCAACATTCTCCTTTCTGCTAATTTGAACATTTTTGCACGATTTTAAAATCGAAGCTGAAGATATAACAACATAAATATATGAATTCAACTAATTATGGAGTTTGAACTGAATATAATAATGCATGATCAGAGCAGCCTATGTTAACCTTTGTTTTTTCTTCTTGCTGTTCGAAGGTTATTACTTTTATTAAATAATTCTAATGCTTTATAGACATAAGCATAATAAAGAGGATCAGAAACAAGTGAATGAGAAAAAGGAAGACATATCACATATATATATATTGAATGATCAACAGAATTGACTTTTGTGATTCTGTCTGCTGCTTCGTTTGTTTCACGACGTATAAGTACGATATGCACACACCAAATTTTGTTGATGAATCCTGGAATGGCTCGGAGAAGGTTGAAAGGGCTGTCTGCGGGATCTGAGGTTAAGAGGTTAAAAGCCTCGGCATTATCAATTTGGAGCAAAAAATTTTCAGAACCATTGGACCAAGCAAGTTTGAGACCTTCGAGAATTCCCTCGTAATTCGGCTTGGAGCACCATTGTAAATCTGAGTCTTTTATTGAAGCCTAAAATGAAGTTTCCGATTCTTGAAGGGGCTTCTACCGGATACATTCAAACTTAGTCTTCTTTAGAGATGACATATGTTTTGGACTGTTGTAATAGTCTTTCGCCCAGGAGATGCATGTTTTGAGCAAGTTGTTATTAGGAATGAAATTACCGTTGAAAATAGCGGAGTTGCGTTGCTTCCAAATCATCGAGGCAAACAAGATGTTCCGGGGAGTATCTGAAAGGGAACAAATAATGTTGATATTAAGGTTTGCCGTGATCCACTCATCTAAATGTAGCTCAAAGAACCTGCTACGCTGCTGATTGTAAAGAATGGACTCCCAAAGCCTTGTCAAATCTGAGCAATCGCGAATAATTTGCGACGCGGATTCAACAGGTGAGCCACATCTCGAGCAGGATTCATCGTGGGATAAGCCAGTCTGCAGTGCACTTCATTTGATGAACTTTTATTGTGATCAATGAGCCAGATGAAACATTTAACTCGTTCCGGATAACAGGCTTCCAAATTTTAGACCAATTTAGTACGAGGGTCGTTCTATCGGTCTATGGCGAGATCGATGTAGGCGCTTTTGATAGAGAATTTCCGATTGGGAGCTTCATTCCCAAAACAAATGTCATTTCATTTTTGGAGGATGAATGCTATGGATGTGAGGGAGGAAAGCAATAGATAGCAATTGAGGGAAAAGGTTTCAATTCCACGTGACATCATGCAAAACAGCCTCTTTGACTAGTAGACTTCTGTCCATAGTGACGCCATGCTTTTTCCCGTTTTGGAGGGATCCAAAAAACATTTTGAAAAGTGAACAGATGAGCCATCACCCACGGATCATGTTGTATTCCTTTTGAAAATCGGTCATGTGTTTGCTAGTGCTCTCCAAAGAGGAGAACAATTTGATAGGCCAATAGAATCTGGTACTTGGTCAATAATACAGTACTTTTCAGGAAGCAGAGTGATCCAATAAGCTTCATCTGTGCGGGTAGGTATAGACCGAATGGGAGGTAGGACGGTCGTTCCTTAAAAATTTTAATTTATCATATATTTTAGATTTTTTTTATATATTTTGATTGAAAATATATTTTCGCCCCTGAAATTTTATAAATTTATCACCTCCTAAAATTCTAGAAATTCATCCCCTTAACATAAAATTTTGCATTTGTCCATGGGCATTACAAATTTTTAACATGAACGCCTTGTTATGGGTTGAATATTCCGTAGTCCAAGACCTCCTCGAGACAGAGGTTGGCAAAGAGTGTCCCATTTCATTAAAGCAAGAAAAGAATCTGCATCTTGAGAACTCCAATAGAAACGCCGGATCATCTTCTCAATCTTGTCGCAAACATGGATGGGGAGCATATTTGTTTGCTTGAAAATTGAAATAAGACGGTGGCTGTGAGAACCAATTTCACCAAGGTTATACTACCAGCAAAGAAAAGAGTATGGGAAGTCCATCCCAAAAGCTTTTCCTGAATTTGATAATAAAATAGTTTGATTAGTTAAGCTTGGGAGTTCAAACTATGTCCTCATCAGTTTTTGAGAGGTCCAAATCAACAAAAATCTTGCATGATTAAGACACGTTACTGCTCTTTGTTAGATTACTAATTGCGACGGTAGAAAAGATGGAAATTTCTTTATATTAACATTAGTCCCTTTTTTGTTTTCTTCTTTGACCAAACAGTCATTTATTTCCTCCCCCTGAACCAAAACAAGCTGAGGAGAAGCGAAGGCGAAGTTTTGATCTTTCCAGTTTCTGCTTAGTCCAGACAAGAATGGCTAAAGTCCGAAGAAGCCCCAGTCGGGTCACTTGGCAACTCTTAGGCCAGAGCATTTATTCTTTTACTCGCTGATTGGTAAACTTACCTGCATAAATGCACTTAAATTTGGTATAATTTAACTTTTAATTATAGTGATTAATTATTAGATTTGAAAAGGTCATGATTTAAGAAGATAAGGGAATCTGATGCCCTACCAACATCTCTGAAAGTCAATACCAGAATCAGCAAACAAAACTAAGTTGGCACGTTGTTTGCTGTGGACAAAATAACCATTGACTTGCCCCCCATTGGAACGAGTTTACCCGAAACTCTTCATTGTCAACTCTAGAGGAGTAAGATACCCAGCAAATAACCCCACGTTCTTCATTGACTTTCCTCAATCTGCAACTTGGAATAGAATTTAATCTTTAAAGTGACTAAATTTGTGAACACTGCATGATGCCGTAATTGTTTACTAAACTTTACTGCATTAGTATGCATTGGAGATATTTCTTCTCAATTAACGCGGAATGGCATGTTTATTCTTCACCCTTCCGCAAGTTGGTGAGTTACTCCATTAAAAATCCGAAGCACCCCATGGTTAATACAGCTCACCTGGATGACTAGAAGAGTTCAGTCAACCCATTGTTAATGGAGATTGTTTCGTCCATCCCTATAAATACTACTACTAGTAGGAAGTAATGCTTTGTATATTCTCAAAGTAAAACGAAGGATTTAGATCAGGATACAGTAGTTTCACACTTGCCATCATGTCGATCTTGGGAATCCATGGCCTGACTTTGGAGGTTACAGGTAAGATAGTGATACATTTGATTCACCTCGTTCCTAATACTCGTCATTACTTCGACTTCTTAATCTAATATTCCCTTTGTAGTTATTGGATGTTATAACTTGGAAGACAAGGAATGGGTATCAAGACAGGATCCTTATGTCTGTCTTGATTATGGGAGTGCCAAGTATCGAACCAAAACCTGCACAGGTAATTAATCTGTCCACTTTGGTGGTTAATTTGCTAATTAATATGACCTCGTTTTCAACTGATAAATCTCCTGAGGTGACGAATCTTGTAATTAGATGGAGGGAAGAATCCTACTTTTCAAGAGAAGTTCATATTCACACTTATTGAAGGCCTCAGGGAGTTGAATGTGGGGGTTTGGAACAGCAACACTCTCGTCGCAGATGATTTTATCGGCAGTGGAAGGTAAGCCTCACTCTCCCCATTTAATTAAAACGAACAAACTCCCTAAACTCTGTAGCTTAATCCAGTTTTATGACTTACTTTACAGGATTCAACTCCACAAAGTTCTGTCCCAAGGTTTCGAAGATTGCACCTGGCCTCTTCAAAGCAAAACTGGAAGGTTAGTTAAATATAAGGTTTGCTATATACATGTATTATAACCATGGCCTAGTTCATCTCCAATTGATTTCTTTTGCCGCAGACATTCAGGAGAAGTAAGACTAATAATGCACTACCCCAATGCCAGAGTAAGTTCCATTCCATATATTTGTGATATCCTATTGTATAATACATTAGCCTGACCGAGTAGCTATGGTTTTCAATTGTAGCAACCCCAAAACTGGATGACAAAAGGAGCTCCGTCATTTCCAGGATATGCACCATCTGCCCCCTTAGCCCAGGTCACACCATATGCTCATCCACCACCAGCACCACATCCGACTCCGATGCCATATGCAGTCCCAGGCCTATCTTCTTACAATCTGTATCCTCCTAGTACAACAACATATCCACCATCTCCATTCGCTGGCTATCCTCCACAGGCCACTCCTGCAAGTTATAATTATCCTCCACAAGTATACCCACCTCCCCCTCAGCCTTCACATTTTTATCCACCAGGTACATTTCTGGTTTATCTGAATTTGTGCATTTCTGCCAATCTCGAAAATTTTCATTTTTTTTTGCTTTATATGAATTTGTGATGATTGCTGCAGCCCCGGCTGGAATCTATCCTCCGCCACCCTATTGAGCTCTTTTGTCATTAAAGCTTAGAAGTACTGCATCAACTGAAGCTAAAAGAATTCATGCCTTGAGCCACAGTGGCTTTGTAATTGATCTGATTTCCTCGGAAAATTTCTTTGCATTGCATGAATACATTTCCTTTTTTTTTCATTGTGTTTCAAACATACCTCTCGGTTCTTATTGGAAAAAAAAATGGTTTCTTTGAATCTACTGCTTCTCTGTAATTCTAGATACTAAAACCAATCCTATCAACTCCCTAGTTGTTTTTTATCAAAGATTGATTGTCGGCTGTCGCCAAACAATCACTCAATACCTTAGCATACATAGTTTCATCAGCAAAAATTGAGGCAACCATATAAAATAAAATCTGCTCTACTTACAAGGCAGACATATTGAATTTCATTTGACCCTGTAAAAATCTACGCAAGTTATGGAAAAGAAAAACTAGCATTCCTTATCAAGGTTATGTACCCATTGTCATTATCTATACTATTTCATACATTAAAATCTACACACGATCTATATAAATTCTCTACCATAATACATGCAATGATTCAATAAAAAAAATTAATATCAAATGTTCGTTTTATATAAAAAAATTTTATCCCATAAAAACTATTTATTTATTTTATTTTATTAAGAGTTATCTTTCATATACTACCCAAAAAAAAACATTTTAAATTGTTTAAAGTCATTAAATCATTATGCTTTACTGAATGGGCAAGGCATTATCCCCCTTAAATTAAAACAAGCCATCTAATTTATTTATAATAACTGTAAGAACAGCTTGGGAAAGCTAAGGTTAGGACATGCTCATGGAACACGGAGCGCAGCCCAGGACGGAACTAAATATAAGGTAGGAGAGATCTAGCCTCTCCCAAAAAATTATGTTTAATTTAACTTTAAATCTTTATAATTTGAGTAACATTTAAATTAAATTATTTTTAAATTTTTTGTTTGCATAATATTTAATTTTTATATTATTTGATCTCATTAACATCCTATCTTATTCTTAGTTCTATCTCTGAATCTGCATCTTAAGCCACTACAAATTCTATTAAGAAAAATATATATAAACCTTAACTGATTGAGGTAATACTTATAAGAAAGATAGAGAGCGCAATTTTTTAAAATGATAACGAAATTAATTACTATCTATTAATGGTACATTAGTTTAAATAATGCATGCTAAAAAAACTCGTATAAACGTATAATAATGATTTTTAAGAAATTATACTAGTCGTCACTTTTATTTTATTTTTCTAATTTTAATGATTCAACTTTTAAAAATTATATTTTGATCGATTTATCATAAAAAATATCAGTCCAAGTTAACTCTTGATATATTGATATTATATATTAATAAAAAAATATTATAATTGAATCTTAAATTTTGAATAAAATATTATTTTTATATTACTATAATGTTTTAACTATAATTTTAAGAATTAAAATATAAAAAATTGACGTTGTATTATTAAATTATATTTTTAACTAAGCACTATATGACATTATATTATGTGATAAAATAATTTAGACCGAATTTTTTATTTTCCAATATAGTTGTAATAATAAAGTTGGGAATAAAAGATTACCAGAGAATATGATTACTGTGAATGTTGTATTTTGTGTTTGGTTGGTTTAGCATGAATGTAAGATTACCGTGTTTGGTTAAATGAATAAAATATTATTAGAATGTATATTTGACCAAATTATCTTTATTATATATTTGTTTTTTTAACAAGTTTGAAAATATTTATATATTTTCTTTAAAAAAAATTAAATTCATATAATTCATATAATTTTTTTACAAAATTAAAAATATAAAAAGGTTCAATGAAAGGGTAAAATTTTATTTTAACTCTTAACATTCATATAAATTTTTAATTATATATTTTTTTGTAAATCTAAAATAGTTTAAGAATAAATTTGTAATATAACCTTCGTAGAATTTTTATTATTCAATGATAGAATAAGGATAATTTTGAAAGAAATTTTGTTTAAGGATATTTTAGTTCAAAACACCGGTAATCCAATAATACTAAAAGAAAAACCTAAAAAAATGGTGGTAATGATATTCCCGATAATATAAAAAAATAACTATTAGTAATATAAGATTACTACACACCTAAAATCTTTAGTTAAAACTTAATCTTTCCTTGCTGATATCAGATATCAATTATTACTTTTCCGAGATTTTTCTTTAACTAAATTTATTTAGATCGATTAATTTTCTTATAAAGAAGTGATCTTTTATGTAGAAATGAGATCAAGTAATATATTTTATGTGATTTCTGAAGTGAGATCGATTAATTTCTTTTCTTATGAATCTGTTGCTTGACTAGGAGAGTAAACGAGCCGAGTCGAGCTGAGATATTGTTGAACTTGACTCGACTCGAAAATTCTGAAATAGAGGACGACTTGAAAACTCGTCAGTTTAAAATTTGTAAGCTCGACTCAAACTCGAAATCCTGAAGCAACTCGAATTAACTGAAGCAACTCGAAAAAGGCTCAAAATGAAAAAAGAAAATCTTAACTCGAACATGAATTTTAAATACATAAAATATTACTGTATTTAAAAAAAATTAATACATAAATATTAATATTATTAATAATTTATTTTTTTAAAAATAAAATTTTAAAATATTATATTTTCGAACTGCTTACGAGTTTTTCGAGTCGAATATCGAGTAGCTTGTTATGACTTATTAAGAACTCGAGTCGAGTCCATTAGATCCGAGTATTTATCGAACCTTAATCGAGTCGATCTCGAGTAGCTCGTGATCTGTCTCGTCTCATTTACAGTCCTATGCTTGACTAATGCTACTATTGGCGTAACCGTCACAGATACTGAAAATTTTGAAGCATAGAAGTGTTAGAGGGCTTAGTCTTGTAGCCTTTGAGCTTGAAGTTGTTGGTTATACCATTGCTTTGGCGTATTGCCTTCATACAGGACTACCCTTTTCAGCTTATGGGGAGTTGGTATTTCTTTTGATCCAAGGTAAATCTAGCCTTCATTTTATTTTTCCTTTCATGTTGCCTTTCTCCTTCCCCATTTCCTCTTCTGACCTGTATCTTAAGTAACTTGCACCATACATGCATGCATGGTTTGCATGTGTGTTGTTGCATGTTGGTGGATAAATTAGAACTAGAACTGAAATTAATATGTTATTCTATGCATACATGATTATTTAAACCAACAGTATATTTCCCAAATTCGTTAAGCTATCTACTTCTGAAATATGGTAGCAAATTTCATGGCTTCACAGCGCAACAAACATGTTCATTTTGTTGTTGGTTTAGTTTTTTTTTTCTTTTCATCTTCTTACTATATTTGAGAAAATTAATATTGCCTCCTGAAATGTTTGATCTGATTTTTCTCTCTTACAGCGATAATATTAGTTGCGGTTATTTACTACTTTTCGCAACCCCTCGGCATCTCAACATGGATCAGGGCAGTGCCGTATCCTGCTTGTTTCTCTGTTATATTTTTCCTTTTCTTTTGTATTGTTTGGAGCTTCTTTTTTACGTATGGTCTGCAGGAAACATATAAGTTTCCTTAACATGATGATGTTGCAGATTCTGTGCTATAGCACCAACGGTCTTAGCTGGTCAAATTGATCCTATTCTATTTGAAGCTCTATATGTAAGTGTCATCTTTCACTGTTTATACTCTATCTGTCAAACTTTGTTTTGTAGATAGTATGTGGCTTTCCTCTTTGTTATTTTACCTTGTTTCTGTCATCAACTAATGGTTATGAATATAATATTATTAACAGACATCTGCATTTTATATACGCTTTTTAGAAACTTTATTTTTTTCAATTATGGAGCTTTGCATGACCAACACTATAATAATGTGGAAATATCCTGCTACAGCTATCCCAGCATGCAATATTTTTCATTGCCAGGGTACCGCAAATATGGAAGAACTTTTCTGTAAGTATTACTCGAATTTTCCATTTTGAATTTTTGTCCTCTTGAAGTGTACAAATTTGTTTACAAACATTTTGGTTTTTGAAATTTCCAGTTTCTTAAATTTCCTTATTAATTAAAAGGAAGGAAGGTGTAAACATTTCTCTTATATATATTTTACAGCCATCCATATCTGTATAAGGCTTTGATTCTTGTTGTTCCTGGATTAATATTTGCATGTTTGTCTGCCCACCCCATTGGGGTTGGTTGGTTAGCATTTCATATTCCTTAAATGCTGTAAAAGTTATAACCTGTAAATCATAGTTGTTGTGTTTTAGAGAATTTCATCAAGGGAAGGTATGAGACTCGGAGGTGAACCATTCTTTTATCTCTCTCATTCCAAAGAGGGTGAATCCGGAGGAGCTACAAGATTTTAGGCCAATTAGCCTTGTTGGAGGATTATATAAAATTCTGTCTAAGGTTCTAGCTAGAAGGTTAAGCCTTTGTATAAATGAAATTATTAGCCCCTCGCAATTTGCATTTATACCGGGAAGACAGATTATGGACTGCTCGTTTATTGCAAATGAGGGTATCGATTATTGGAGGATAAAGGGGTTGAAGGGGGTCGTATTTAAAGTAGATTTTAAAAGAGCTTATGATTCCGTGGATTGGGCTATTTTGATGAAAATAATGTGCAAAATGGGGTTTGGGGATAAGTGGTCTTCGTGGATTAATCAATGCGTTTCAACAGCCACAATTTCAGTTCTCGTTAATGGGACACCGACAGAAAAATTTAAAACAGCAAGAGGTCTCCGACAAGGCTATTCATTATCTCCAATGTTGTTTAATTTGGTTGGAGAGTTGCTTCATTTGATGTTGGCTAAAGCAGTGGAGATAGGGCTGTTTTCGGGCTTTGAGTTAGGAAATCAAGAGAGGTTGTTTACGTTGTCACATTTGCAATTTGCGGATGACCTCATTATCTTTAGCAAGGCTATTGTTCGAGACTTGAAGAATGTCAGAAGGGTGCTGCTAATTTTTGAATTGATGATAGGTTTGCAATTGAATTTATCTAAGAGTAAAATCTTTGGTATTAATGTGGATCCGGATGAGTTAGCAAGCTGGGCAGTGGAAATTGGCTGCACAGTGGGACTTTTTCCATAAGAATATTTAGGATTACCTTTGGGATCTAAGAGAAATTCTGCAGTATTGTGGAAACCAATAGCCCATAGATTTTATTCTAAATTGGCTGGTTGGAAGGCTAATTCCTTATCTCTAGCTGGTAGGGCAGTTTTAGTGAAGTCAGTTTTGTGCTCTCTTCCGACTTATTTTCTCTCCCTTTTTAGAATTCCAATTGGTGTGGTTAAGAGATTGAATTCCATAATGGCTGCCTTCCTTTGGGGCGGTTCGACAGAAAAGAGGAATATTCATTAGCTGAATTGGAAGTTAGTATGCAAGCCGAAGAGGTTGGGGGGTTTGGGAATTCCGAATTTGGCTCTTCTAAATAAAGCTCTTTTGGGTAAATGGGTATGGAAATTTGCATCAGAGAAGAATTCGTGGTGGAAAAAAGTTGTGTTGCGTGTATAATTTAGACTTTAATACATTCTTAATTACGAATTCTTTGTCTAATCGGTCATCTTGGATTTGGAAAGGAATAATTAATAATTTCTTTTCTAATGATGATTTTGGGGACTGTATAAGGAAGAATTTGTGTTTGAAGATGGGGAATGGAGAGACAGTACAATTTTGGCATGATTCTTGGTTGGGTTCGTTTCCTTTAAAAGTTAGGTTCCCAAGGATCTTTGTTCTATCACTGAATAAAGGGGGCAAAGTTGCAGAGTTCATGGAAAATTCTTCTTCAGGGTGCTGCTGGGACATTAAATTAAGGAGGAATTTGGTGGACTGGGAGGTTGAACAGTGGATGCAGCTTATGTCCTTGTTGAATTCTACCTCTTTATCATCTTTGCAAGATGACTGTTGGGTCTGGACAGGGGAATGGGGAGGGTTGTTTTTCAGCAAAATCTTGTGTGAAGTGCTATTTTGATTGGGTTGGTAATGAGGAAGATGATGGTACTTGGGACAACACATTGTATGGACAGGGGTTGCTCCTCCTCGGGTCGAAACTTTTGTTTGGCAGGCAGCTCATCAGAGAGTGACAGTTAGAGAGGAATTGATAAAGCGAGGAGTTTCAGGGATTGAAGACTCGTTATGTCCTTTGTGTGGTAAGTGTGTGGAGTCGGTTTCTCACCTATTTGTTCATTGTGAGGTTGTTAGAGGCCTGTGGTATAGATTCTTGTCATCTTGGAATGTATCTTTTGTGCCACCTCAGACTTTGTTGGATTTCATAATCGTTTGGAATGATTTAATCCCGAAATCCACCATTTGGAAGTTCATCCCTAGGGCGGTGCTTTGGACGGTTTGGAAGTGTAGAAATGATATTATTTTTGGGAAAGGAAAGGTGGATGGCCCGTTATTGTTCTTCCTTGTTCGTTTTAGAATTGCATCATGGTTTGTCGCGAGATTCAATGATGTGCAGATTAATTTTGATTCTCTAGTGGGTGATATTAAAATAGCTGATTTGGGGGTAAGAATGAAGAAGGATTCTATTTCTTCCTCGTGTTGGACTGCTCCTCCCTTAGGTTACGTTAAATTAAATGTTGATGGTGCGATGTCTAAGGAGTGGGATAAAGGAGGCATTGGTGGATTGTTAAGGGATGCTCAAGGGTTGCAGCAGGGTTCGTTTTCCGAAAGGATTGGGGGGTCCTCCTATTCTTTCAGAGCTATTGGCTATAAAAAGAGGGCTGATGTATATTGAGGAGAAATCTTTGGTTTCATTTCCAAGGGTCATCTTGGAATCAGATTCCCTTAATGTACTGAAATGGATTAAAAATCCGGGTGTATGTACTACTATGTTCCAGCCATTGGTGAAAGACATTGCTGCATTAGTGGAGAGTAGAGGGGTAATTGTTAGGCATATTTTGAGAGCTGCTAATTGTGAAGCGGATAAACTAGCTAAAGAAGGAATAGGATGAATATTAGATTATTGACTAGGTTGCACAATTATTGAGCTGGTTATTTATGTTCTGTGTTTGGTTTTTAAGTTTTATGTTGTAACAAAACTTCTTAGGATGGATATGTATTATTCTGATATTAATGAATTTTTAGGCACTCTTTTCCTCCTTCCTATGCCCTTCATGTTATTGTTGTAACATGGAGGTTAAGAAGGGGTTTTTTAACGAGGCCTATCCAATTTCTATCAACAAAAAAAAAACATAGCGTGTACTGTGTTGGAAAAGTGGGAAACCATCAACACTCGGTTTTAGTTGCACAGTTGTATCACACCCTATTTATGATCATAACTATTAAAATAAAAGATTTCTTCCTTAGTAAATTCAATGAACTTCTGACGCGATAGATTCTATCTAGTTAACTGCTATTTGTCTGACTATATTACTAAATCCAGGTCAGTTTCCAGTAAGTGATAATGAGCTCCTTTGTTCCTTTGGCTTACTTTCTTATTGCATGTCCATCTTCTGTGACTTTCTACTTTTATACAATCTAACTTTTTAGCTAATTCTTTAGTAGTTATTAATGAATGACTATTCTTTGAGCAGAACAAAAGCACTGGAGAGCTCAGCTTCTTAACATGCTTTATGAATACTGCTGGCTCGCTTGGTATGTACCTATTGTTTATAGAGCTGTTGGAGTTTCAGTGTTTTCTTTTTTGTTCGATTAAGTTGGAGTCCGAGTGTTGATAGTGCAGTAGAGGTAGTGTTTTCGTGTGCCAATGACGAGACTGAAACTAAACTCATTTGATTTGTTTCTCTTGCAGTGAGAGTATTTACCAGCATCCAGGAAAAAGCACCACCAAGCGGTATCCTTTTTCTATTAAACTTTCATCTTCTAAATATTTTTTATACACTTGATTAATTTTTTTTTCCAAAAGCTCCTTGTTTCTTCTGTTCTCTGTTTTCCTTCAGAGCAATCTGCTTGTCTAAAGCAATTTGTCTTCCTTTTTTTCCTGGGAAACGAGAAGATAGATTACGGAACTTCCAATTTTACTTAAACTTTTTTGGAAATTGAAACTCATTTAGTACACATGCCATGGAAAAACCGCATGTACACGATTGGTTTATCCATTTGAAGTCCTTGACTCCCTTGAAGTTGTTGCGGGCTCGGTTCTTGGTATCTTGACAAATGGTACAATCCTGACTCAAATTATTATATATCTAAAGCCGCAAGTCGAGAAGGAGAAGAAGGCAGAGTAAATTTATACCATGTCCCAAGTAGACTATGATTCAGTGGAAAGGTTTAGATCGGTGAGCTATCATTGGATGTATTATCAAGCATTCAATAGCCATCAGTTTATAGTTGACAACGCACTGAATTTGGACGTCTTGAGGATGATAAATTTAGATACTTCTAGTAAATGGATTATTCAACTTTCTTCTGCTTTTCTTTATGAATGGAAGTGAATCATGCTCTGCTTTCATGTGTTGGTTAGCAGTTATTTTCATTTATATAGAGTATTTGACGTATTTGTTTTTTGTTACTCTTGCGAACAATATATAGATCTTTTATAGCCAATATAAATATATAAATACATTTCATAGTAAAGCAATAGGTTAGATCAAAATGGAGTGGAGACGAAATATTTGAAGCGTGATATCTGTGATTAGATAAAGGGCTATGGAAATGTTAGGAATGGTCGATGGGCTTCGAACAAAGTTGACTGCACAGTTAGTCTTTATCACAAAATGATTAGCACTAATACCCAATGTAAATTAAAAAGGTTAAAAGTTTTTTTTTTACAAAACTGGGCCATTTTGCTATTGGAAGCAAGAGCTCTGCGGCATTTGTTTTGGTAGGATCTTTGCAGATGTTACCATTAGTTGATAAATCACTGCAATGTATTCATACACAGCCAAAACAAGAAATTGTAAAAATAACTTTCACAAACATATGATGAATCAAGTAGTTCCAATATCTAACTGGAATATGAATCATCATGATCATATAAAGAATCGGAAGCTAACTAAATGTATCAGGGTGCTGCCATTTCCTATAGGAAAATAAACGAGAAATCATCACTTTTGAAGATGAAGATTCAACTCAAAAGGCAATCAGCAGCACTGAATCCGATAACACAACGCAAAATAATGTAAGCAGTTGAAGAACCAAAATGCTTTTTCTAGGGATTAACTCTAAGAACTGCCGCCATTACTGTTTGCAAACCTTCTCAAAGTGCAAGCCACCATACTCCTCCCACTCAAAAGCAGTAGCAACTTCGATCGACCTGTGCTGCTTGAAGCACCAATTTGACTTGCTACAATTGGAGGAAATTCAACTCCATTATCTTGTGCCCCACCATCACTGCCATTCGCATCTAACTGTTCCCCTGTATACAAATTAATTGCGAGTGATCCTCTATTTGCTCTTAACCATTCCACCCCCTCCGATGCCACTCCCCTGCATTTCTTCACCTTCACTTTAATCAAATTCGGACAACCACAAGCACAAACTAGTGACTATACTGGTAAAAGAATTATTGTTATTCCTTGAGGTTCTGGGTTCAAACACCGATAATGCCATGATATGAACAATCAATGTCAAACGGTTGAAATTTATCTTTAAACATATATTATAGTAAAATTAAGAGTAAATGGGATACTATTTTGATCTGTTTTAGATTGATAAAAAGTCAGACTATCTATGTCCATCCCTTGAGGAAAGGGATGTATCCGAGTCGTGGTGATACTTAAGCGGATTCGTGGTCCAGCCCAAGTTTGAAACGCGATTAAGAAAGATCCCGAAACATTTTGGGGACTGCATTGGTATTGTTTAAGTCACGAGACATGTTGATCGGCCCAGTAAAACAGATCAGTGTGAGATGGGCTTTGTCAGATGTCCGATTCATGTAGAGCTTGTACTTTTCGAGACCTCATATGATTCGCTTGCAAGGGTAATAGCTACTAGGTGTGCCTCCATTTAATATGATTTAACCGATTGATGGGTCTTCGGATTTAAAGCTAAGTAACGGTAAAGCCCTTTTTTGAGTTGCGGATCAAATTTAATAAATAGTTTCGGAATTATTTTGTTTAGTCTTCATATTATTGAAGATTACAAAATAGTCTCTTAATTATAAGATATTATTTTGTTTAATCATTCAACTATTAAAATTTATAAAATGATTACTCCACTATTTATATATTTCAAATTCATATTTTTCAGTTAAAAAATTGATGACAATATGAACTGGACGTTAACCTGTTGATTGAGATGTCATAAAATTTGATCCTAAAATTTCAAATGACTATCATATCTCAATCAACACGTTAACGTTTTGCTCAGATGATCGTTAATTTTTTAACAAAAAATGATAAATTTGGAATATATGAATAGTCGATTGACCATTTTATAGCTTTCAATAATCAAGGGATTCAACAAAACAACATCCTATAGTTTGAGGATTATTTTATAACTTTTAATAGTCATGAGACTAAAAAAAGTAATTACCTATAGTCAAGAGACCATTTGTGTAATTTAACCAAATTTAATTTATCTAGGTGGGCGACCCCATCCTCAAAACGGCGCGCTACGATTCGATCCCCTCCAAAAAGTGAAAAACGTGATCGGTTAACTGGATCAGTTCCTTCACCACACTTCACTCTCACTTATGGCGGCTCCTGTGATTCTCAAAGGCATCCCGCTGCTCCGGATTCGGGTGGAACGGTACAACCGTCTCTCCGCCGAGATCGTTTCGTCTCCTCGACGCCTTTGGCGTGCCGCTGCAGAGTCGACTAAGCACCAAGAGGAGGCATCATCTGCGGAGAAGAGTAGTTCGGTGCTGACCGTGAGGGATCCACCGAAGTACCATAGGTGGGATGATCCTGATTACAGGAAATGGAAGGATAAGGAGGAAGAGATTCTTCGAGACATCGAGCCTATCATTTCTCTAGTTAAAGATATTCTTCACTCTAATAGGTCAGTCTCTTAGGCCTTAGCCCTATTATCTCAAGGGTTAGTTTGAACGCTCCATTTACGTACAAAAAAAATAGATTATACATTTAGATATTCACAATTTTTATTTCATTTTAGCATGTAACAATTATGCTTGAATTACCTTTGCAGTTTAGTTCGAACAAAAAAGCAACAGAAGTAAATTGAACTTCTAAAATCCTAAAGTACAGCTGAGTTCCATTCGTGTAATAAATAGTGTTAAGTTGAATTTCTAACAAATCATGAGATTCTTAGATTCTTGGATCCTTGTTCGTGATAATTCTAGTGGTTAGCTACTTAGCTTTGTTGTTTATATAATGCGACAAATTGTTAATCTAATTATTTGACAGTGACTGGTAGTTTCAAGATTTGAGTCCTGACATTGCTCCAAGGCTACCAGGTCACCGTTGCTTGATTAGTTCATGTATTAGTCTAGAGTAGATAACGTATTAAGTTTCAAGTTTTCTGTTAGGATGGAATATTGATATTCTGAGTTCTCTGCAACTGTATGAGGGATGAATTCCACATTTGTAGTTTTGCATGATCGAGCTTGGTGTGGTTGCCTTTCTGTTAACTGTAAGAACTTGTTTAATCTTGTGTGAATGAATCTTTTAACACTTACAAAATATTGCTTTTTTATTGTCATTTGCTTCAATGAAATTTATACTTCCTGCTCCTGGGCATAAATAAAAGAAGTTGTTTTAGTAGGAATATGGAGCTACTGGTGTCAACAACAATGCGCGTTGATGTTGCCTCATCATCTTGTATGTCCCTTCAAACCCTGCCACTAAGTTCCCATCAATGTCCCACATAATCATCTATCATCGAGGACAGAAAAGATGGGAACAGGAGGGGGCATGGTATTGGCTCGATATAAATATCATGTCTAATTTTATATTTATGATTGTTAATTGCTCATGTATATATTAAACACAAGAATAAAAATACGAGGTACATGGAGTTCTCCCTGTAGTTCTTTTTCTTACCAATTTGCTAGGAGTAAGTAGTTATTTTGGAAACCGAACAAAAAAGCAACAATAGAACTTTCTATATGTACTCGAATTTTAAAATTTATGTGTCACTGAATCTTAAAAAAGGAAAATGTTGTAATCTTCAAACCATCTTCCGTGGTTATTATGGAAGAATATTCTCCGGAATGGTAAGGTAACTACATTTTCCCCTTTTTATGAATTACGTTATGTAATCATGTCTTGATCTTAGAACTTGTGCACTGCTGATAGAAAAACAAACTAACGTATAATTTTGAGGTATTTTTCAGAAGTAGCAGCTAATAAGTTGAGTAATTCTGTCTTTGTAGTGCAACACTATTTTCAATCTTAGTCAAATAATTGATTATGATTCTTCTATTTATTTTGTCATGTTAGATATATGGATGGGGAACGTTTAACTGTTTCAGACGCGGAAACTGTGCTAGAGAAGCTTCTTTGTCATCACCCACATTCTGGAGATAAAATTGGATGTGGACTTGATTCTATTATGGTGAGTTTCTGATGACATTGTCTTTTAGATGGTTGTTCAATGTTTGGTTAGGTTGCTATATAGTCAAACACGTGTTCTGGGTAAATTTTGCAGTATTTCCATTGTCAGACTGCTTTGTAGGTCTGTATACAGTGTGCATATTAAGTGAAGTTCTGCTTTAACTTAGAAGAGTGCAGTTGATTGTTTTGTGTGTCCTGCCAGAAATATTTCTCAATACTATATTAGCTAGGCTGATTCTTCATCTCAAGATTTGAAATTTGCTTATCTTGATTTTTCTAAGAAATTTCAATTTCCTCTTGCCTTTATTTCTTGTGTTGTTAAGTCTTCCATTCTTTCCTTTATTTGGAATTTCAATTTCCTCTTTCCTTAATACCGATCCCCTTCTTTCCTCTATTACTGTGATATAGAATCTTCTTCGTTCTTTTAATCTGCTTGCTAATGTTGCTTTTCTTAGTGATGAAAGTGATTACTGTTTAATTATTCTGTAGCTATTGTGGTTGGATGAAACTGACCCATTAATGCTGCCTTCCATATGTAGCCATTATATATTCTATGGATGTCTGGCATAAATTGGTATTGGTTTTCTAGAACGGACTAATAATGTGCTTAATCCCCTTTGAAGGTTGATCGACATCCTCAATTTAGAAACTCAAGGTGTCTCTTTGTTGTTAGAACTGACGGTGGTTGGATAGATTTCTCATACCAAAAATGTCTCCGAGTATACATTCGAGATAAATACCCATCTCATGCAGAAAGATTTATTAGAGAACATTTTAAACGCGGTAGTGGCTAAAATGTGAAAACATAATGTTAATTGCACTTTTTAAGTAAGATTTTGGTATCACTGGAGATATTTTAATATTTCCTTTGGGTAGAGAGATTGTCAATTTGTATTATAGACCTATATATATAGATTTGATTTATGGTTTGCAATGTAGTAGATGAGTCTTGACTAACGTTTCGTGTTTATTGTAACTGAGGACAAAAAGTTATTGAATTGAACTTCACTCTGTATGTATCTCCTTTGTGGTCGGCTTTGTGCATGTTTGTTCATGTTGCACGAAGTTGTTTCTTCAAATATTTTGGTATTGGCTCTTATATAATACTAGGATTTTCAAAGCGCTTTATTGTACGTCTTGAATTTTTTTTTATCAAGAGAACAAAATGGTTTAATTTCTCTTCAAGGACTGCATGGTATCTTGATTCTTGAATATTGAATTACCTAGATGTGGAGCATGATAGAAGAAAAATCTTCAACGTTCCTTCTCGTTTTTTACTCCGATGAGAAACAAATCCCATCTTTGGACTTCGTAGGTTGAAGAAGGATGGATTTGTTTTGGTTTTCATTATATGATCTAGTGATTCCTTTATTAGATGGATCGCATCAGATGATAACAAGGGTATCCGAGTATTCGTTGCTTAGTACATTTGCCATGAAATAAGAGATGGTTAAAACAAACCTTAAACCAACTCACTGCTCTCTGGTAGTGATAAACGATCAACTTGAGATGGAGCACCGAGTGCAAGTGGCCCTATGCATCTTGGCAACGGAGGTCACCGCTTCCACCTCTAAGGATTCGGATTTGGATGTGAAATTGGGAATTTGACAGTAGTTACCATAACAATGATTAACGGAGCCACAATACGATTAGGTTAAGACGTGCGAAATTACTGCCTGGCCTGTGCGTGCTCTATTAGACATGTGGATGGAGAAAATCCGTACATTGGTGCAGATGGGCGCACAATCATATTAGGTGAACACTCAAAAGCCAAGGAAGAAAGAGGATAAAACATCTTGTTTTCATTCAGGATCCCTGAACAGCTTATGATCCTATCAGCGCTGGCTTGGCCTTATACAGATGGTTGGTGTGGTCTTAAGGCTGCAAGCTGTTGGGTTCATGAGTCCCAATAAAGCCAAGGCTTTGCTTTCTGTTGTGTATGACTTTATTGAGATGGCGGACAATCACGAGCCATACTTTCTGATTCTGAAATTGGTGCGCCATTGTCTGACTTTGGCCACGCCTCCCTACCTTTATCATTCAACGTTGAATCATCTGTTTTTGTTTTTTAGGAATTTTTAGAGGATATTAATATTATATATATACAAAAAATGTATTAATCTTAAAAATATAATTATTTGATATGTTGATGGTGATTTTTTTTAATTTTACAAAATAATATTAAAAGATTATTACCTCTAATTGATATTTTAAAAAATTATAAATAAATTAATGTATCACATTTATTATTATAAAAACTTTATATATCAAATATTAATTCATGCTTTAAAGTTTTTATTGTTATAGCAAATTTTTTATTTTAAATTAAATTAAAATATATTTTTTGATAAAGACAGAGACGGGACTAATGTAGGTTATATTACAATAGAGCGTCTCCTACAGTCCTACTACTTGCCTGGAGATGTTCATGCAATGGTTGTAAAGCCTCACTGGAGGCTGCCGAAAACGGTGGAGTCCTCAAGGTCGTTGTAATGGCAAGCTAGCTAGCCATAAAGTATGTCGTAAAGTTCCCTTTGCGGTACACACGCTCAACTTGAATCACCTAATAAATGTGAATCGATTTGCTGAAAATAACGAAAATTTTCAACGCCATCATTCAGCATCATCACTTTTTACTTATTTCTGAAAAATTCCGTCAATTTCAGCAAATCGAAAGAGCAGAGCGAAAGCTAACCATAGAGTACGTCGTAAAGTTTCGTTCAAGGTACACACGCTAAACTCTAAACCTAATTACCTAATAAAAGTTGTTTGATGCTTCTAAGCACTGCATTATGAGCAGTTAAGTTGGACTTAACTGAGATTACTAGAACCTTCTCCTTGCTTTCTAGTTCTAAGATAAGTTGCCCTGCGCAGGCTTGAATCAGGCCATTAAACGTTCGGCGTCAAGAACAGAACTACAACCTATATCGCGAGCGTATCCCGCCAACCTGTTGCGAGCTAAAGTTTATGGATTGATTGCAAGCTATACAAATAATTACAATCTTTTATCATTTTTAACGTACATCTAATTTTAATGATTGTTCAATTTACTGGTGGACAAATCTCCACGGTTAATTTTGTCGATAATATAGACCATAAAATATTTAAATTTATTATTTTTCATAAAAATAAAACCAACTTTCGATGAGCGAATATTCATAAATGTGATCCGCGAACTCGAACAACGTAAACAAACAATTGCTTTTAATTGGGACAGACGAGGATATAATTTCAAAATTGCATTTTTTCAAGTATGATGGTTTCTATTTGATTCTTGATGGTAATCAGATTGTAGAGATATTTTTTTTGAATTAATCACTTATGTATGATCTAATAATCAATTAATTCAAATCGAATATTATACATATATTCTCAATATTTTTATATCCTAGATTTTTTTTAAATTTTTTATTGATTATTTATTTTCATTCTTTCTAATTTTATAAATTTGTATATCTTTAAAATTTCATAAATTCACTTCTTTAACATAAAATTTTATGTATGCTATGATGAAGCATTTACGACTTGCTCTCACCTGTTTGGACTAAACCACACGCGCCTTTCTTTTGGGCTTTTTTCCCTTATGTTTTATGGTTGGTGTCGTGTCAAAAGCTTGATTGATAGGGGGCGGAGCCCCGTGCAGAAGGAAAGTGAGTGTAGGAGTAAAAGGAACTTATTTGTGTACAAACCCAAGTCGTCGTCGTCACCACCTACGTTAATAGATTCCCTCAGTGCCATAAAATTCCGAATTCCCATTTTCATGTACCGTACCTTCCTTCCGTTTTGCATTACTCTTTTTTATTTATTTTTGAAGATGAAAACAAAGCTCTCTTTCTCCAATCTCATCACCCTACAATTAATCCACGGTCCGTACCAAATAAGCTAATAATAAAGGAAATGGGCTATCCTGCTGGAGAGCAGTAAATTACATGGGGAACTGTTCTTTTTCTTTCCCTTTTAATTTCAGTCTTTTTCATGGCTTTCTCCACCCAGCCATGCATACTCTGTATAGTATAATGGAGGCCGCATTTATAAGCCCAAAAAGGAACACCCTACATGCAGGGAAGATTCTATTAATACTGCACCTCATTTCATATGCCACAACTCACAAACCTTGTAATGTGTAAACAGATGCTTTTAAGAAGCTATAGTATTCGATTTTTTTATCACTTTTGTACTACAGCACAAACTAACATTATCGCGTAAAATTTTATATTATAGAATTATTAAAAAAGAATTAAATTATATAAAAGTTTAAATTTTTTAAAATATGAACCACCCTAACATTTACAGCCATCTTTACAGGGCAACCATAAATGATATTCCTTCATTCATCTTTCCCAGAGAAATTTAAAAAGAAGGTTAACTCTGGATCCTGGTCATTGCTAATATTAATATCCTTTGTGGATGTTGTATCAAGTTCTCTCCCCACACCAAAAAGCCAGCGCATCATCATGCATGCATCAACTACTTGCAGTATCATATATATTTTCAAGAAACCCATAGCTATTTGCTATATATAATCATGTTACAAAATTATATTAATACATTAAAAACAATAAATAATTATTTTAAGAAAATAAACCCACTGCTATTATACATATTACATTTTGCCTTGTTTAAAAATGAAAAATTAATCTACTACAAGAGCAAAAGTTACTCTTAGTACTAAAATTTTCTATACATGTGTAAAAATTCTCACCCCCACCATATTCTAATTTCTCTTCAATATAAATGCCAAAAAGGCAAAAGCTTAAATTCTTTTGTTATTTTTAAAAAAGTTAAACATACACGTATATCTCATATATAGATATAGAAAAGAAAAATCTCCCAAGTGCCATTCATACCTTTAACAAAGGAGCTGCACAATACAAATTCTGATGCATAACATAGAATATATCAGAATTCAGAATAGAATATATCAGAATTCAGACTGAAAGAAGAAAAAGCAAGAAAATTTAAAACTCGTCTAAATATGGCATAGGGAGAGATGGAGTAAGGGATTGATATTATTTAAAAAAATTATCATATAATATAAATATTATATTTTTATTTTTATTTTTATTTTTATCATTTAAATTTTTATAAATTTGTTTTTTAATATAAAATTTTATATCCACCCACGTAGGGAGGAGCAGGGGTGGGATTGTTTAGATAGGATCCAGAAATACAAGGTCCCGAATGTCAGTTGTCGAGTAATTGTACTGCATGGCTCATGCCATGATTCGGGTCTGGATCCAATTGTTTTCCCCAATTGTTAAAATCCAAAAGCAAATCCATAGAAGAAAATTCCAACTACTAATACTTTTTGCAAGTACTACCCTCTGTTTGCAGCCAACCCACAACACAAAAACACGTCCCTTGGTTACTGCTCACTCCCCCCAATCCTAATCTGTCCGGGAACAGATTGAGAGATGCCTCAAGCTCTGTCTTTTGGCCTCTCTTTCTTCGTCTCCTTCTCTGTTCTATAGTGAATCCAAGCTTAAAAAAAAAGAGAAAAATGGATTTGAACTCTTCTTTTGTTTTTGATCCTCTGTATTGTTTAGAAGAGAATTGGGAGGAAGAACCCGGGGAAGACTACCTTGTGAAAGTAGAAGGAAGTTATTACAACAACAATGGGATTATTAAATCAAACCCTTTTCCAGCCTTGTTAGAACAAGATTTATCCTGGGAAGATGATGAAGTTTCTTCTTTACTTTCAAAAGAAGCGAAAGATCAACCCTGTTATAGACTTCAAATCAATGAGAATCTAGCTGAGGTTCGCCGTGAAGCTGTGGAGTGGATGTTAAAAGTCAATGCTCACTATTCCTTCTTTGCTCTCACTGCTCTTCTTGCCGTCAACTATCTCGACAGATTCTTGTTTA